TGTGATATTTTTCCACAAGAAATTTTTTAGGAGTCACTGGTAGAATTACCATTTCGCCAAATGGTCAAATTTTGGTCTAAGTAGTATTGCCAGAACAATGGTATATTATCAAAAACTTACTGTGACCACATTCTTATGATTCAGAAATGATCTTAATACAGTCGATTTAATGTCATTGTTGTTTTTAAAAATACTGATACTTGATTCTTTGATAAGCATGAATGAACAGAAAATCTTAGCCTCTATTCTTTTTTTTTGAAACAACAGCAATATTTCATGTAAGTTCTAGATTTGAAAACATATACTGTAAAACGAGAAAATTTGGCGCATACGTATTTTAGCGCAAAGGCAAGTGGGAATGCATTGGCACAAATAAATTTTAGCGCTTGCACTTGTCATTAAAATATATACATGTGATATATTTTTTTATCCACACCCGTATTTGATTAGTCAAGCACGGAAACACATTAGTACTCCCACATATCAGTAAACATTCGTTACCTTTAACGCAGTATGTGTTGCTATCACATGGACGTGTACAATGTTAAAATTTATTTTATTTCTATTTTCAATTAAAAGAAATTGAGTATTTACTTATTTAAATCACATTAAAACAATGCATGCATCAACAGAAAATTACTTAGATAAACGGTAATCCTAGTCAGGTATTGTCTGCTAGCTCAATCGCCTTGGTTGATTGCATTGTTTACCTCGAGGCGATAGATGATTGACACATCGAGAAGCCAAACTTTGAAGGTGCTAATGAAAATAATCAGGTAACAACTACCGGGCTAACGATAGTTTAATTAAAAATAATTTGACAGAATATTCTGTATTTCAAACATGTGCAGTGCTAGGGTGTATATAAAATCCAATGACCCTTTGACATTACATAATCGCGCTTTCCGGTTTACATGTACTTATGTAATAGCTTTGAATACACACAAAACTAGAGGTACTGTGAGCGATGAGCTCACTAAATGATACCTCCCGCCTCCATATAGTTATAATGGCAAAGTCCATGTTTTGCTATGGCCGGGAAACCCAAAATATGCGTCGGATCAAAAATTAAAATAGAAGGTGCACAATGGCAGTATATAATAAAGATTCTGTGAAAGTTTCATCAATTTCATTCAGTGGTATGAGAGGAGTTGCGGATAAGAGATGGGTACCCCAAAGCGTAACAGACTGAGGAACGGACGGACAGACGTACAGACGGTGTAAAGACGAATAATGACCCCATCGAATAATGACCGGGGGTCATTTTTCGACAGCGAAAAATGACCCCCGGTCATTATTCGACGTAGAAAAATGACCCTTTTGCCCGTAGAAAAAGTGTCACCACCCTAAACAAAATGCTAACCCACGAAGAAAAATTACCCCCTGTAGATTAAAGCTAAAATTTTTTGGGGGCAAAAAAAAAATTAGATTAAGAAGCATATTGGCCAAAATGCTCACCTGAGCTTATTGGGAATAAACTGATGATATGTTGATCTCATAACATTATACAAATATAGCTATATTTTAAGGTCAATGCAATGATTCAGAATCTAAAGGAGTAAAAGATTTATCAAGCCTTAAGGGTTAGGTAAACATTGCTTTTTGATGGTGGAAATCATCGAACTGACAGAAAAAAATCAGCAGTATTATATATTATTATATCCTCCGCTTGAAAAGCGGGTGGGTATATAGTGATCGGGATGTCCGTCCGTCCGTCTGTTACGCTTTGAGATATCCATCTCTTATCCGCAAATCCTCATATATAAAAAAGATGTGTTTGTGAAACAGCTATGCCCCTGTATGGCAACAAAGCGAAGATTAAACTTTTCTTAAATGCAATTTAAATACATGTATATTGTTACCCAAAGTAGGGTCTTCTCACAAGTAATACAACTGCAAAATAGGAAAGCCCTAGCACCACTTGTTCAAAAGAAATGGCTAAGGATAAGTTTTTGAAAGGTAGGTCAAACTCAAAGGTCAAAGATGATGATTTCTTAAGAAAATGTTTAATGTAACAAGGATTACATATGTGAAGTTTGAATACCCTAGCCCTTACCGTTCAAAAGTTATGGCCAAGGTAAAAAAAATCATAAGTACGGTCAAAAGGTCAAAGTTTTAAGTATCCAATGAAAGGTAAATGCCAAAAAACTACATATGTGAAGTATGAGAGTACTGGTATCTACCGTTTAAAAGTTATGGCCAAAGTAAAAATTTGGCATTTTTTATGTAAAATGGGACAAACTCCAAGGTAAAGATCAAAAGGTCAAATTTGGTGGTACCCAAAGTAAGGTCTTGTCACAAGGAATACACATATTAAATATGAAAGTCATAGCTCCATTAAATGAAAAGTTAAGGTCAAGGTTAAGGTTTTTGAGGACAAACAAACCGCCAGATAGACAGACGGACATACAGACGAACACGATAAAACTATATACCCCCGAATCTTCGATTACGGGGACATAAAAAGAAATGGTCTTCAATTAACTTTTCATATTATGATACATTATAAAGAAGACGTTACAACAATGAAAATGTTTGTTCTGATTTTTATATTAAATTCTCTGAAAAATATACCCAGAACTGAGTAAAACAAGAATTAAGGTAGAACCTATGTCGGAAAAGTCTTTGTCATAAGGCTTTCAAACTTTTCAAAATGATAAATTAGTACTTGCTTATCAATCAGTTAAAATATGATGTGTTTCCTTGTTTTTTAATCTAGAACAGGCTGTGAAACTTGGTATGGTATTTACATACTGCGACTTCACATTTTCAAATGTTTTTAGGAGTACATGTCATAAAGGAAATATGAAAAATCACAAAAATACTTCTTCAAACATCGTCGTTTATTTTATTAACTGAATAATATTAAACAATATTTTACCAAGAATAATTTATTTTTTATTCAATTAACATAAAAGATAAGTCCACCATTAAAAAAAAATAGTCAAATGAACTCTATTATTTTTAGTCAATTATGCACCCTACATTTGTAAATTTTTTTAGAAGTCACAATGTTTTCAATCTTCAATATGATGAAGAACATAGCCAAATGATTACAAAAAGTGATTAAAATATATACCTTTCCCCTCTAACTAATGAAAGATAGGCTATTTACCGATACTCATATTCTTGACCCTTTTGCACTTACATGGGATTTAATAATTAAATGTCTGTTTGGGGTTACTTTCAGATTAAATATTTATCAGAAATTGTACTTTTACTTTAAAAAGATCATATTTAATAGAAAAATTGTAATCAAACACAAAGAATATGAATAGGTAACAAATAATTGTTAAAAGGAATGCACATCATCTCATTATAGATATCACAAAAATGTACACACGATCAAACGATCTATAACACGTACATCTTTGACTTAGATACATTTCATCAAGATATTACACTATATAGCTGGCAACTAAAGATTTCTTGCAATTTATGCATTCCTTCAAAATGGTCACATACCATTCAAATTATAACGAAAGTTGTATATACATTGTAATTTCATTACACTAAATAGTCTTGGGTTTGTCAACTTCAGGTCTAGTAAATAAAAGGTGCCTACATATTTTCTCTTATTCCAGAAATATATTGCCATTAAGCATTATAAACCAAAATATATATGAATTGAATTAAGATTATGTTGGCATGATTGAATTCTGTGAATTTCAAAATGCAGTATTTTCTACCATTTTATTGAAGTTATCAAGTACGGGAAAAAGTGGCACTGAATTAATTATGACGTCTTAATGGGTTAGCACAGGTTAAACACATTTACCAATTATGATGTCATGCGAAGTAGGTTCTACGTTAAAAGAAATGTACTGAATACTGTGTGCTAAATCAAAAGTTTATGTCTACATGTATAGTTTTTGCATTAGAATGACTGTGTATTTTGCACTAGCCCATAGCTTTACAGAGCATACTTTTAGGTCTTATACATACCCCACCAGCTTTCTTATTTAGGAGGAAGTCGATATTGAACAAAAGCAAAAAAAAAAAAAAAAAAAAAAAAACCCTACCTTTATTTTTCTATAAGAAGGAATTAAAAATAAGCTTAAAATAATCTACTATTCTACTAATTTTTAACTGTAACTTTGCCACAATACTTTCAAGCATACCTCCACCAACATTTAAAGCATGCTTTAATCATGGCGAAGTAAACTATGATATGATAGTACTTGTGTGAATGCTAAACTTCATTTCAATATTTTATCTAGAGCCTCTTTCAGAATTATTGAAATGTAATATTTCCTATTAAAGAGTATTTAAACCTGATTTTTGCATGGTTTAATTTCTAAAAACAAGTGGAATATCATTCTTTAAGCAAACATTATAAGGAGGAATATTAAAAAGAAATTTTATCTACTTCACAATTAAAGAATCTCTTTTCAAACACATTTCATACGACTTTTTGTATTTTTCTGGTTACAGAAAATGTAAAAATTAGTTTCGCTGTAAAAAAGATATCGAAAAGTGTATATTTTGTATCACTTTAAAGGGGGTCATTTTTTAATGGGGGTCATTATTTTACAGGACTTACATATAAAATAATGACCCCCCAGGACTCTTTTTCTACAAAAAATGCTTTTTTTCTACGGGTGGGGGTCATTTTTTGTCGTTGAAAAATGACCCCCCAGTCATTATTCGATGGGGGTCATTATTCGTCTTTACAACGGACGGAATTAACGATTACTATATACCCACCCGCTTTTCAAGCGGGGGGTATAAATATTTAGAAATCCTTTAGCGCACAATAAATTTTAGCGCTCAGGGGGCTCTTGCTCCAAAGGCGCTAGAATTAGTAGTGCGCCAAATATTCTCGTTTTACAGTATCAAATATAATAAATAAGAGTTTACTTGGTTTTTATTGATGCACTCATATGTCAAGAATGATACTTCGAACACATATAAAATATACTTTTGGTGTAACTTACCTCATCAGAAAATAATTTCCAAATAAGGAAGAATGTTATTTTTCCTGGTTGTTTGAAGTATGAAAAAAAATTGAGGAGGAAGTATTAAAAAAAATAGGTGTGTCGTAAAGGAAAATGGATATTTTATCTTTTGTTACATTCCTGAATGTCATCCATGTCTCTATTGCTAGAGATCCATACATGTGTGGGTAAGAGAAACAATCGTTATAGGTTTGATAATGTAATTTGCATATTTAGTTAAATCATCAAATAAGAAGAAATATACTTTACTTTTTCAGTACTGGACTTTGCTGCAGCGGTTATTTTCTAAAAGGCAATATATGTACAGGTATGTTTGTAGTGGATTTTAGTCTGCCACATTAAACTAAAAACCACTTATATATATATATATATATATATATATATATATATATATATATATATATATATATATATATATATATATATATATATATATATATATATATATATATATATATATATATATATATATATAATGAATACAAGTGTCATACGAGTGTAATAGGGCTTGTTTCTATATCACAATATGCAAATGCTTCTAGTCTACTATTTAGACCGTAGAACTGACATTACAAATAGATGGAAGAAACTCAGATGCAAATTTCTATACTCTATAATATTATTTTTTTTATAGAATGTCCTCCCGGGACATACGGATTAAACTGTAGTAGTGACTGCTATGAAGGCCGTTATGGACGAAAATGTAAAGAGAAATGTCCTACAGAATGCGCACTCAGTTGTAACAAAACAACAGGGGCATGTCCAGGTAATTAGAGATAAGATGTAATGATTTTTTTCTTTATTTCCCGATCATGACAAGGAGCACACAGCGGGAGTGACCGGTCGGCAGGGGATGCTCACTCCTCAATGGCACCTGATCCCATCTCTGATTTTGTGGTGGCCCATGCTTGCTCTGCTCCTGTTTTGTTTCGTTTGTCTTTATAGGCCTCTGGTCTTGAATTCTATTCGTTTACTCCATATGTTTCATGCAAGTATATAGATTCACTCATTGTAGAAGCTATCACTTTAACTTGTTGCATGTACAAACAAACATGTAAAATATCGCTTCAGGGAGTAAAATATTGCTACAGTTGACTCCCAATGGCTCGAACCTTAATCTCTTGAAGTTCTCGATCTCTAGAAGTGACAGCTAGATGATCATTGTTAGAAAATAATTTAGAGATTTAACAATAATTTTCCATAGATAATGAACTTTATAATGGTTTACATAATTCCAATATGGTAAACATTGCGCAAAAAAATCCTATCACCAGAACTAAATTGAATACCAACTAGGAGACTTATTGTTCACAGAACAATAAGAGGTCTTTCCACCTTTATAAATTTCTTATGGTTTTATATTTTACTCTCTAATTTAATTTTAAGGTAAATGGCTTAAAAAAAGAAAATGAAAATTTAAAAAAAAAAAAATTGAAATGACCTTGACCTTTGACCTTGATCAGATCTTCAAGGTCAAAGGTCAAGGGTCACAATGCAATTGACCGCATGCCTCTACGACTTTTAGTTCTATAGTTATAAGTTTAAATTTTAAGTGCAAAGAAGTTAAAGGGCAATAACTCATTTAAGGGGTCATTAGATCCTTTAGTACTTATATAATGAAGGTGTGCCTTAAGACCCTTAAGACATTAGTGAAGGTTTCATGCCTCTACGGTCTACTGTTTTGAAGTAGTAGCGATAACAATGTTTTTCACATAAGGGGCAATAACTTTTGATAGGGTCAATCTTTGAGAACAAGAATGAAATCATTGAAATAGTTTTAAGAGTACATATTACTGATGCAAAGACTGATTGCACATGTTAAAAGACAAAAGATATATAAAAAGAGCTTAATTTCTCATTTTTGGAATGACCTTGACCTTTGACCTTGACAAAATATTTAAGGTCAAAGGTCAAGGGTCATTATGCAATTGACCCCAGGCTTCTGCCATTTATAGTTTTCAAGATGCAAGGTTTAATAGTAAGTATAAAGAAGTTAAAGGGCAATAACTCATATAAGGGGTCATCAGATTCTTTAACACTTATACAGTGAAGTTAGGACTAAGGACTCTTAAGACATTAGTGAAGGTTTGGTGTCTCTACGGTCTACAGTTTCGGAGGAGTAGAGATAACAGGGTTTTTCCCACAAGGGGCAATAACTTTGAAAAGGTTTAATCTTAGGGGACAAGAATGAAATCTTTGAGACAGTTTTAAGAGTACATATTAATGATGCATAGACATTAAGTATATGTTGAAAGACGAAAGAGATACAAAAAGAGCTAATTTTCTCATTTTTGGAATGACCTTGACCTTTGACCTTTACATGAATTTTAAGGTCATAGGTCAATGAATCTTATGCAGTTGGTCCCATGTCTCTACGACTTCTTGTTTTGAAATTTTTTAATTATTTGTAAAATTCAAAAACTTCCAGGGGCAATAACTCATTGATTGGGTCAACGAATGCTTTTGCAATGAATCAATGAAGGGTCTACTAAATTAGTCTAAGACATTAGTGAAGGTTTTATTTCTCTAGGGTTTACAGTTTCGGAGGAGTAGCGATAACAAGCTTTTTTGTGAAAGGGGTAATAACTCCGAAAGGGGTCATAGTTCATATACGCAGGGTCAACTGCGAAAATCTTTTACGGAGTACATTCTTATGAACTTAAAATCTTTTCGATAAATCTTGAAACTCAAAATCACACGGCGGAAAAATAATAAAAAATAACTAGGAGACTTATTGTTCACAGAACAATAAGAGGTCTTTCCACCTTCTTTAAATTTCAAATTTGTTTTATATCTGACTCCTAAAAATTAAATTCCATGAAAAAGAAATCAAAACCCTCTTAAAGCATAAAAAAAATGAAAATAAAAAAAAAGAATGGCCTTGACCTTTGACCTTGAGTAAATTTTCAAGGTCAAAGGTCAAGGATCACAATGCAGTTGACCCCATGCTTCTACGACTAATAGTTGCCAAGTTATAAGGTTTAATAGTAAGTACAAAGAAGTTAAAGGGCAATAACTCATATAAGGGGTCATCAGATCCTTTTGCACTTATACTGTGAAGTTAGGCCTAAAGACCCTTAAGACATCAGTGAAGGTTTGGTGTCTCTACGGTCTACAGTTTCGGAGGAGTAGCGATAACAAGGTTTTTAGCACAAGGGGCAATAACTTTTAAAGGGGTTAATGTTAGGGAACAAAAATGAAATCTTTGAAAGAGTTTTAAGAGTACATATTATTGATGCATAGACATAAAGTATATGTTAAAAGACAAAAGAGATATAAAAAAAGCTTAATTTCTCAGTTTTGGAATGACCTTGACCTTTGACCTTTGCATGAATTTGAAGGTCAAAGGTCAATAAATCTTATGCAGTTGGTTCCATGTCTCTACAACTTGTCGTTTTGAAAATTTTTAATTATTTGTAAAATTCATAAAGTTTCAAGGGAAATAACTCATTGAAGGGGTCACCGAATGCTCTTGCAATGTATCATTGAAGTGTCTACTAAATTAGTCAAAGATATTAGTGAAGGTTTCATTTCTCTACGGTTTAGGGTTTCAAAGGAGTAGCGATAACAAGCTTTCTTGCGAAAGGGGTAATAACTCCGAAAGGGATCATTATTCACATACGCAGGGTCAACTGCGAAAATCTTTTATGAAGTACATTCTTATGGATAAAAAATCTTTTCGATAAATCTTGAAACAAAAAATCACATGGCGGAAAAATAATAAAAAATAAGGAAAAGAAGAAACAGAAGGAAATCAATAGGTCTTTCCACAGAAAGGTGGAAAGACCTAATAAAAAAAAACAGAAGAAAATCAATAGGTCTTTCCACAGAAAGGTGGAAAGACCTAATTACGAGCAGTCTGGTGAAGGACCCGATAAAGACAGGGGTTTTACCACATCAAAATTAATTATTCAGGTTTCATATAATCATGAATTAAAAACAAATACTATAAATGATGAAAATTAATTTTTTTAATATGCAAAATACGACCATTACTGTTAAAATCAATTGAACTATCTGTAAAATTCCTAATAAAAACATGCAATGGTTGACATTATCAATATGATATATGTTATATTTTTTTTTTATATCTATAATAGTAGAACAATGATGATCGGGACTGGAAAATATTTTAGTTCCAGATTTTATTCATTTTTGATTTCTCGAACAACTCAATCATTTAAACATTTCTTACGCTTCTGTTAAATTCGAGAGACGAGATTTTCTGAACGAAACATATGGAGATAACAAACTGTATATGATAAAAGGCTAAAAATATAAAGTTGTTACATTCATCGATAATTATTGAAAAATAAATGCCATAAATATGAACTTTATATAATTGCAATTTAAAGTCATAGATTCCGGAACATACGGATTCCATGGTAGTGAAGAATGTTCTGAAGGCCTATATGGAAGAGGGTGTACCGAATCATGTCCAATAGAATGTGTTCGTAGTTGTAACAGATCAACAGGGGATGGTCCAGGTAATATAAAATCATATGAATGGTTTTGCAGTAAAGCACACATCATAATAATATATAAAAAATACCCACATCAATAACATCAAAACGTACATTTGTTCAAATACATTCTTTACGCACACACAAGTACATGTACTCCAATGTTGTTTCATGAGTTTCTAATTGTTAATATACGTAGCATTGAACATACATTTGAGGACATTTTACAATCTGTTGAAAATCCCATGTATTCCAAATACGCCGTGATATTAGCAGACTTTGTTTCGTAATCCTATTTAGCAGAATCTGTTTTATTTTACATAAAAATAAGTATTTCACTGTGACTTTCAGCTTTATAAGCTATATCGATGACGCTTTTTCATGCAATAAACATGTACATTTTATATTCTAAGTCTAATTTCAAATAAACTGCATTACCTTAAACAAGGATCACTATAAAGAGTAACACATCTGTTCTATTATTAGACTTACATCAAAACATTATGATAAACATGATGACGTCAACATTGTTATCATCATTCCCAAACTTATGTTGTAGTTAAAAATTATCACTTGCTTACGAAGTTTATGTATCTCAGTTGATTGAAGATTTCAGCAGTCGAACTATTACTTAAAATTTCGCAAATTATATGGTTTATACAATACCCTTGTAAAAGATTTTTTATACAAATTGTTGGGACCTATGTAGATAACGAACAGTTTTAAAGATCAAAAGCCCGTAAAAACAATATTACAATATATTAAAGAACAAGTTTTGGAAACTGGACGTTTTCCTTCCTGTATCTCACATTTGATGACAGTACCATTTTACGTGAGGTAAGCA